CCCCCCCCCCCCCAATCTTGGGGACATAAACAATAAACATCCCCGTTTAGAAACTTGATCTTCATGTCCATGATTACCATTACCATTTTTTCAATGCTACAATGAGAACATGTTCACAATTGAAATAGAAGATGAGCACGAAGCGCTTTAAAAGCCTAGTCTATAATATATGCACAATGATTGAAATAAATGCAGTTTTTTTAAAGAATAAATGTAGTCAGTTAATTAGTGAATAAATCATTAAGGTGTCCACTATAAATAGAGACTTAAGAAAAAACGCTCACTCATCAATTTAAAATTTACGCTGGGTGATTGGATTTTGACTTTGGATTTTGGACAAATTTCATGAGAAACATTAGCTCTAGAAGTAGTCTCTGTGCATGTATAATAATATTTTTTTCTGTACAAGGCCCTTAACTTTCAGAGGAAAATATGAATTATAATTGGCATGGTAATTTTTATGTAGAACCTACCAAAAAGCATTTTTATCCACTCCTCTTTCACGTCCTTAATCTTCCTTATGATGAATATATACTTTGCTTTTCTGTTCGTTTGTTTGTATCCAATAAAAGTCAAAGCGCTGAACTGATAGGGCCCAAAATTTTCGAGGGACCTCACGTGACCCCAAAAATTTTCAATAATTTGCTTTTAACAAAATTCGATTTAGGAAAATTTTGAAAATTCACAACCATTTTTTATTAAATCCGCGAATTTTTGTTTTTTTGTTTTACAATATATATTTAAAACAGAAAATGTTAATTAATGAAATAGAAGATGAGCGGGAAGCGCCCTAAAAGCTCGTGATGAATATTCTTCAAAACAATGCAACTAAGTTCCCAGGGCACAGGTGGCTGATCATCGCGGATTTTTCATTTTTTTCATATTAGTGTATTTGCCATTTTATAATCTAGAATAGTGTATTTGCTATTTTATAATCTGTTAAAAAGTCTCAATTTATAATGGACAACCTTTAGGGTATAAATTAAGTCAGGTGAAAGCTGAATGGTGGTAAAGGAAGCATTTTATTTGATAGTTTTTATCCCAGAAATTATTGGAAAATTGAAATGAATATACTTCATGAAAGGGGTTGTACAAAAATGTACATGGTCTTGGTGGGGTAAAAAAATGTTCAACATTTACCCCCCTCCCATGAAAATCCTTATTTACACCCCTGTGTTTATGGGACTTGTTATAACGCAGATAATCACTAATCAGCTTTAAACAATAAACATGAATTATCATTGTATTTTTTTGTACCATTGTTTATCGGCATGCAATTCTTTAAATAAATCAGTGCTTAGGATCAGGATCAGGATCAGGATCCGCAACATTTTAGCTTCGTAAATCTGGATCCAAGGTGCAAAATATCAACCACAACCTGTTAATAAGAATCTGATTGTTCTAAAAACACGAATCTTGATTGTTAACTAATGAGAGATTATGGTTCATGTTTTTTGCAAGTCCTGAAGCAATATTCACATCTTGGATTTGGATCCATTTTTTCAGAGAGAATCCAGGATCCGGATTCGCATCAAAATTAAATGGATCCTAAGCACTGAAATAATCTCTTAAAATCTAATTTCCCAATGTTTTAGACGATAGTGAAAAGAAAACATTAAAGGGTGTTCAATCTTCACCAAATTTAGAAAACACAGGTATTACAGGGGTGTGTATTTTCGCGAAAATAATTTCTTTTTTTAAGAGTTTTTTTGCTTAATTGGGGAAAATAAATCGTTTTTAGGGGGAATTCAATGACATTATGGGTTAAGATTCTAAAAGAATGAAATAAGTTGTGTTTGTCCAAATTTTCATTTTCCCCATATCATCAAAAATATACACCCTTGATTCAAGGACAATTCTTATACAATATACATTAGAAATAGTGGACGGAAAAGAATTGAATCAAACCCCTCTTCTTGTCAATATGCGTTATTTAAACGTGAAAATAACGTAATTTTAGTTGCAAACCCGTTATTTTCAGGTAGCAAAATAACGTCACTTTCATGTAGTAAAATAACTTTATTTTCACGGTTAAACCATAATTTAAGTTTTCAATTACGTTTTTAATTACGCCCCAGATACTTATCATTTCAACCATAACAAAACCTGATCTACCTAATTACATTAAAATCATGTAACTTTAGTTAGATGAGGTCACGTAACTTTTTTACATAACGATTTATATAATTATTAAAGTGATGTAAAATAAAGGTTATTAAATTGAATTTCATAATGTAAAATAACGTTGTTTTTTTTATTAATTTTGCATCCGTTCAGGGGCATATAAAAAATAAAACTTTTTAAATCCAATTCTAAAATGATGGTTTCGTTTAGAAGAATGGATCCCTAGTCTTGTATCAGTTCCAAGTTCTCCCAACCTACTAGATCCGTCCTCACTCCAACATATAAGGTACAAAATCCTCGGATCTAGAATTTTTTTATTAAAAAGGACTGTAAGTGTTATTTTCAGTGATCTTCCATGTGCAAAAATAGCAATACCCAGTTTTAGATGAAGATAACGTAGTTTTCTGACTCAAAAAGTGTTAATTTCTGTGAATTTCTCCATTGTTTCTCAAAAGCAAGAAATGTGCTAGTCACTGATGCAGAGAAACCACAAATAAAAATAAACAAAAAAATTGTTAATTGATCGGGCATATTTGCTTGGAGGGTCACTTGAAATTACACTTACCGTTACTATAATTACTTTTAGATATTGGATCTCATGTATTATTAATTGTTCATAATCTAAATTAAATAAAAATCCCTTTGTGAATATTAAAGGTTTTCAGACAACTAGATCCACTAGTAATATCGAGTTGAAGACAAGAAAATCTAACCGAGCTGGGAACTTTTGTATTGTGGATATTCAGATCAAATCTTAATCTCGATCTAATGTTAATGTGCAGATTAACTAAATCTTTTCTACATACCCCATGGTAATTGTACCAAGTAGTTAAAGAAACTTTGATCAGGGGTTAAATAACTAAAATGAAAGATTAAAAATTTATTCTCAAATTAAAAGTGTCCAATATGGATATTGAGACCAAGCAATGAAGATTATGATTACCCAACACAAAAATCCCCAGCTCAGTCAAAAACCAAAAATATATTTTCTCCATATCTAGTAATAAAACAGCATCTAACGCCAAGCATACTCTTCGAAAGATTAATGGGTAGTCTAGACTTCTTCTTGGTGCAATATAAATTAATTTAAAATAGAATTCTGTGATTTAAAAATTAAATGAATTAATGAAATATTATTTAGCTCAAGTAACAGTAGTAAAACCAATCCTGCCAGTATTTCTAGTAAACTCACTTCAGGCAACAAACATCAATCAATCAATCAATAGAAATATTAAAATCAATAAATTGATTTTTTTTTATCAGGGAAATAATTAAAGGGTGTCTGTCATTATTATGTTGTTGTTGTTGTCGCCATTAAACCAAAGTAGTCGCACATGAACATGGAAGTTAGTGAAGGCTTTTGGTCACCAAGTGAAAGGGGTTTGCAAGGAATAGAAGTTCATACAACTGTCTCACGGGCCCGCAAACTTCATTGAATCTACTCAATTATTACATCACCTTGGCCTATTTCAGTATTTGCAGGTTTGCATGCTATGTCATTCAACGTAACGACCTCCAACAATGACTGTAATTTGAATTCATCGGTCGGAATGCTTGGAGCAAGCAAGATGTTCATTGTTAGATTGCCATTTTTAGTTGCCATTATTTTCATGAAAGTCCTCGACATCTTTTATTCTGCACAACATCGTTCTCGATCAAATTAAAATCAAAGATCGTTTCATGAATAAAGCAAATAATCGGAACCATTATTTTTCATCCTTCACTCCATTTTAGTTCAACAGTTTCATTTTTATTGATTGTTTCGTCACTTTTTGCCCTCACAATTAAACGCACGATTGATTGATTGATAAAACAATTAGACGAAGAAGAATCTATGTACGACGAAAGACGATGTGTCCGGTGTACAAAAACATTTTTTATGTACTCGGGAGGAGAATACTATACACAGGTACATATAACTAAATCTATATAAATTTAGTAATCATTTCGATCTATTTGTATGTCTGCTCATAATTCAGGACTCCTTAGTCTATTTGTTTAAAATTTGTATTGGGGAACTCGGGAGAACCACGGGAATTTTTTTGCTTGTTTTTTGAGATTTTAAGCTGAATTGTTTTTACTAAAATTGTAATTTACAAACAAGCGCGTTAAACGTATGAGTACCCTGGGCAAAGACGGGTTTATTAAATTTAACTTTAACTAATACTCTTCAGTACTACCGAAATAATAACCCTCTTAATTGTTGGGGGAAAATCACAAAAAAAACTTATTTGACGAAATCAACTCATGGCAATTTTCACGTATTAAGAACAATTATAATTTACCCAATATATAATAATTTAGAAAATAAAAAACTCTAAAATCATGACATGTATATGAGAAGGGGAACAAACATGTAACTAGTGATGTCCATCGTTTTGAGACATTCTGGTTTCTTTGACATTTTAAGTGCGCACATCACATGGCACAATTGTATTCGCAAAAACTTTGCTTTTATTACATTAAGCAATTTTCTGTAATCAAAGATATTAAACAAAACAACTTTTCCAAAAAAAAATCCTTAAACTTTTACAAATTGTTGTGAAAAAACGTTTTGTTTAAAAAGTTCAAAAACTTTAAAATGTTAAAAATAGGAGCTCTAATCGATGCCTAACAGATATGAGTATTGAGTACATAATATAACTGAGATTATTTGTTAAGGAGTCCTGTACATATCATTGGGGTAAACTAAGATCCCAGAACAAGAATAATCCTATATATCAGTGTTGTGGTGGAAGAGCGGGTAGATCCAGGTATTACCGACCCCCCCCCAAAAAAAAAAAAAAAAAAAAAAAACATTAACGTACATATATATA